AATGACTTGTATTAAAAGTGGATGATACTATGTAAAATGGGTGTGTGCGACCATAAATGGTACTTATACTAAGAATATAATCACATGATCAGGGTTAAGGTCACCTGATACACCAGCACCAGTTCATTATCTTATACCTTATTTATTATAAATATTAATAAATTTAACAATATAACGTTTTTAAACATATTTAAAAGTTTAAATTTTTTAATATAAATTTTTTTTAATAATTTTTAAAGATTTTTAATAAGGTTAAAATTAAATGAATATAAAAGTTAATTTATTAACGTAATCTTATAATTTAAAACTTATTTATTTAATTAATTTATAATTAAATAAATTTTATATATAAAAATATTATTTATAACGAATATAAACTTTAACGTATAAATTTAAAGTAATATTTTTTATAAAATTTTTAAAATAATAAAAAATATAATTTCACGATATTATTTATCGGAGTTATCGTATAAATTAATAAAAAAAATGCGTTTTCCTTACTTAAACGTAGTTTAAAATATTTGTAAATGTTTCGTTAATTTATCTTTTAATTATATATATTTTATTAAAAAATTTTTACTTTATTATATTATAATAATTAAATTATATATAAGTTAAATTAAAGTATAAAAAATAGGTTTTAATTTATTTATTAATAAAAAACTTATGTTTAACGTTTATTTTTATCATAAGTTACGATTGATTTATTTAAAAAAACCTAACGTTTTTAATATTTAATAAGCTTTTTTTTATGTGTTAAAGTAAAATTTAAACGTTTTTCAGCGTATTATAATGTTAATTTAAACCTTTAAAAGGCTTTTTAATATATTATACCTTAAACCTTAAATTAATTAATAATAGTTTTTACATATATTTATAATTTAATTTTAATAATTAATTTATTAATTATAATAAAAAAGTTTTATATAATAAGCTTTATTAAGTATTTTTTATTTTAATTTAATAGCTTTTTAAGGCATTTATAATTAAGGCACGAAAAACTTAATTTTTAAACCTTATACTTAAAATTGATTTTATATATACTTTATTACAAGATCTTTTTTAACGCTTTAATTTTTTTAACCGAAAAATCTGTTATAAATAAAGATGTAATCCTTATCTTTTTATAAGAAAAATAGTGCTTTTTAAGGGTTTTAAGATTTATTGGCAGCGTAGGAGCCATTTTTGAAAATATAATATATATATTACGAGGTAAAATATTTAGGGTTGTGGGAAAGATTAAACGTTATTAAATTTGCCCTATTGTAGTCTTCGAAGTTTCAATATTAAGTACGGCGTTTTATTTCCACCCGCCCACCAGCCTTCCTACCCTTTCTCTCTGTGTAAACCGCTCTCTTTGATAAACCTACTTCCACACTTGACCCCGTCGAAAAACCCACACCGCCAAATATACTCCCTGGGCCGAAGTCAGGATCTCCGCCCAGCGTGCCAAAGATATCCCCTATGTAGTTCGTCGCCTTGATTCCAGCATCGTATGAAGAGTTCCAGTCAGCTATAATACCTTTTACGATCTCAACTCCTGCTAGGTAAATGTTCTTAACCGCGATGTCGAAGCCGTTTTGGTCTAGAATGCGGAGATGCGCAAAAGCACTGACTGATGGTGGGGGTCTGTCGAAATTAGAACCTTCAACATGTTAGCTTCTCCACTCGACAGAAAGGATAGGGGTAAATTATGTACGCACCAGTTCTCATCAGAATGACCCGCGAGAAGTCAACAAGACCCCAGACGGCAGCTCGCATCAACGCATTCAAAACCGCAGTATCTTCCTGCGCTGAAACACAATACGTTATGCTGCTCTGGTTCGTCCAGAGCTTCGTCGTGTTCTCAAACGCCTCGCTTAGCATAGTACCAGAATAGTAAACATCGCTAGTCGCCGAGTCGCACTTAATAATGCTAGGGCCCCCCGTCGCAGCCGCATATACCTCGCCGCTGGCACCGTACAAGGCACGATACTTGGCGCTTTCCGCGGAATCAGCCAGCTGTGCTGCGCGCGCGAGCCCAGCCGCGGCATCCCGGAGGTTCTCGTTCACCTCCATGACCTCGGTGCCGTAGAAAACCGAGGGGTACTCGTCCGGCGCGTAGGCGCCGTACGACAAGTACCCGGTGGAGAAGTTGGCGGGCATCTCGCGCGCATCAAACTCGTACTGCAGCGCGACTTGCACGGAGAACTTGGACAGCGCGACGCTGCCCAGCGTGCCGAGCTTGGGGCTTATGCCGGCGATGCCGGCCATGAGGAAGTACGTCTTGCTCAGGTCGAAGAGGCTGGAGAAGAGGAATGCGGTGGCGGATGTTGCGGCGTTGATTTCTGCCTCGCCCATTGTGAGCTGGCATACTTCCCCGAGGGCGTTGCAGTGCACGTGCGGGAATAGGGGAGAGAGCCCCGGCACGGAGATGTTATGTGCGAGCAGGCTGCCGAGAGAACTGTTGGGCGAGTTCGTGTACCATATTTCTGCTTCTGGGGTGAACTGTGGTTTTCATATTCGATTTTAGCTACCTTAGGTACCTAATGTACTGGGGAAGTCATCATAGGGGAAGGACTCCAAGACTTACCATGCTGATAATTACGACTTTCGGCGCTATTTTACCACAGTCACCCATATTCTTCGTCGAAGCCGCGTTGCTCACGCAGTCTAAGGCTCTGGTGGAAGCATGCACATTCCTGGCCATCGACCGGGCCTCGCCCAACAAAGCGATTAAGACAAGATTCAATAGCAACATGATGTTAAACATAACAATAGCAATCACTACATAAATATGTGAAATAAGTTATCTATACTGAAAACAGTTGTCAAAAGCCATGAACCTTAACAGGAGGTATTTATCTAGTAGCATTCCGGGTCCTCGACGACCAAGCGATAACGATGAGGCTTATCATTAGATGCTCCCCCGGAGCCGAGACATTCGGCTTCCTACATGACTAAATGCCGAGTTGCAGGTGCCGGTTTGGCCGGTCGTGTCTAGCGGGAATTTAATCTTCTTAACAGTGATGATGGCTTGCATCTACAGCTTATCACTACGGAATACTCAGAGGGCTGTTTATTCGACAGTACCTGCGTTATATCTCTTCGTATAACAGTGGAGCATCACCTTATCTCGCATAAGGTTCCAATCGCTCTCTCTTCATGGTCAAGATCATCATATACAGGGGATAGGTGGCTACCCAAAGAGGAGCGTAGTTGAAAGAGACGACAAATAGGAACGATGAAAACCGAGACATATTGGACCTCTAATACCTTTTCGTCGTTTTTTATCTACCCCCCACAATGAGTTCTATCGACTCGGAATATAACCATAATTTAACATTATTATATTAGTCATTAACTTAGCCTATGTATCGCTATACATATGATCCTCGGCATTTTCGACTTCATTCAAAGAGCTTCGATGACTGAACCTAGTATCCCATAGGTACTAGGTCAGTTCCTCCAGGGGTCGCCTAATATGTCTATAATAGGGGTAGTTGGAAAACAATTTATCATCTACTTCCCAACAGTGCGTTAATGCTAGAGAATGCATAAAAAAAGAAGAAAAGAAGAAGAAGAACGGCGGGTTTCTACACCAACTCACAGGCCGCTCCCCATCTTCACTTGCATCAGTCTCTTGAGACATATTATCCTTGGGCTTGGAGCCACGGTGTACCGAATACCCTTCGCCCCCGCAATGCCAGCCCGCGCGCAGCGCAGGTAGAAGGATCCAGCAAGGACCAAGAAGACTATGATGTCGAGCTGGAGGGCTAAAGCTGTCCACATCAGAGCAGTGCCCGTCTCAGGGACACTTTTCAGGCTCGCTACGAAAGAAGAGGCGATCCCATTTATCCCTTTTGTCACTATGGAGAGAAAGGCGAGCGTGGACTCGTCTGATTGAAGGCTAGTTGCGCCTTTCTCTCTGTAAGATGACCTTGATCAGCCATCATCCATTTTCATAGTCAACTCGAACACCGTAGCGCTGTAGCATGCCTGTTTAGCAACGTTGGCGTCTGCACCATGTTCAAGAGCAAGCTTCAAGATCCTAACACTAAGTACGCAGTTTTCAAAGCTTACTGCAGTATTCATGTGGGCCAAGAAATTGCAGGAAAGGAAATGTTGTTGCAATATGAGGATCTCCCCATCAACTCTTTTATCTTCTCCTTGCAGCCGAAATGTCCGTTCCTTTCTGCAAGCCGCATAGCATTTTGACATTGTTTATCGTCGAAGGGGTCCCAAGGACCATTCCAGAGAAGCTCTATCATATCAAGACGGCCGTTCTCGGCCGCACCCTCCAGAGGCCAACGTCCGCGACATCCAAAAGGCGGGGGTATATTATACTCGGCCCCATGCTCTATGAGAGTCGTTGCCATCTCGGAGTTGCCCTGGATAGCTGCGAATTGCAGCGCCGTACCCCCATCAAACATTGAAGGTTTGTCGTTGACTCTAGCGCCATTCTTGAGTAGCAAACGAACAATGGGGAGGTTGTTCATCTCAGCAGCTTTCTGGAGAGGAGTCCATCGTAAACCGGACATCGCTGGCCTGTTAACATCCGCACCATTATCAATGAGGAGCTGAACCATTTCTGCGATTCCAATCTCGATAGCAGTCAAAAGTGGAGTGGCCCTGACATAACCAGAATTCGAGTACAGATAATCATGAATGACGCTATTGACGTCGCTACCAGCATCAATAAACCTTTTAACAATACCAGAATTCTCTGTTCCAATTGCACCGTATAACAGAGTTCGGTTACCTGGGATTGCTTGGTAGTTGACATTCAACCTTACAAGATCCCAAGCAAATACCTGGTCAAAAAACTTGGGTGACTTTGAGTAGTTATGAAGTGCTTCCCAGACGATGCCCGAACCATATCCAGCACGGCCTTGTGGGTAGGCTTTCCAAAATCTATCCAGGAGTGGCGTAACCATCGAAGAATGATTATCTATCGCTTCCTTTAGGACGGTGTCATTGTCAGCCTTGGCACCTAGGGAAATTAGTTCGTCAAGCACTGATTCATTTTCACACTCTACCGCAACTCGTAATGCTCGGTCTTTCCCGATATTGTGCCCTTGTGGACTATACTTGGCAATATCTAAGAACAAGTCTACACGTCCTTTCTCCAATGCGAGTTTCAAGGTGCGATATGTAGGGTCAATTGGACCGCAACAAGCTTTACAAGCTCTCCAAATATCGTCAATGACTGAGTCCTCGTTGTATTCTATGGCCGCTTCTAGAATCGGCCATTCTTTCTTTTGAAGTCCGTCGAATATATCGGGATCGCAGCCGGATTCTATGATATTTCTCACAAAGTCTGGCCTCTTTCTTACTACCGCGACGTATAGTAACGGAGCCGGATGTGAGACCTGAAAACACAGAGGTCGGGTTGTGACACCAACAGCAAGGAGCTTCTCAGCAATATCATTGAAATCATGAGCCAAAGCAGCATCCATAGCATCGGCTACGTCGAAAAGCCGACTATCATCTGGGCTATAATCCCTGACTTCAACAAATTCGAAGTCGGGGTCGAGATCTAATGTTTTGGTCGCGTATCCTAAGTTTCCCGCTTTGAGAGCCGCCGTGAGCGCTTGACCGATCCTGTAGCCTTGGAGAGAATTGAGGACGCCCCTTTCCTCTAAGGAGCGAAGGCAATTTTGGTCCCCAGACCTGAGAGCGGAGATGAAGATCTCGCTGTCTTCCGTATTCCTATCTAAGCCAAGATCTTTATCTGGGCTTGGATTCGGATTCCCGGCCTCTTCTACCGTGATGGATAGTTTATTTCTACCCGGAATTGACGCATATGGAAGCAGGATTGCCACCAGCTTGTCATACGCACGCTTCGCAGCCTCGTTTAAGGCATCGGCGACGTGTAGATGAAATTTAGACAAGTATCCAGCTTTGCCTAGTTCTTGGCAATTATTTATGATAAGCTCAATGATGCTCGTCGCATACTCTTTCCCAAAGGATTTTACGATATCTCCGAGCAGGTCCTTGTGCGAAACGAGCTTTTGGGGTGCTTGGGAAGCAACGTTCTCAATGAGATGAATTGAGAGTCGTAGATCAACAGATTGAAGTGCCTCCCGGATAGTATCTATCGATATGGTGGCTCCAGCCTCCAAGAAAGCGTCGACTAAATTCAGAAATTTATCGTCGAGTGTCGATCGGCGACCATTCAAGTTTTGGATTAGCAAGTGTAATGCATTGGAATGATAGTACCTTGGAAAGGATTTGTTGAAGTCGGCCCCTTCGCTAATGAGAAATCTTAGGACTTCGAACGATTGGTAGATTGCAGCAATTTCAAGTGGCGTATGTCTTTCGCCCCGATAATGACACACAGCTTCATCTATAACGACCAGTCTGGTGCTAAGCAAGTACTTGATAGCCTCGGTATTATCCGTTCGTAAATATACTGGGAAAAGCTTCTCGGCGAATGATTTGGCCACGGGACTCAATTGAGCGTTCAAAAACTCGATCACCATTAACTGCATAGCATAGTGTCTATTCAAGAACTTTAGAACGCCTTCGGCTGGTATACTTTCAAGCCCTACGAATCCATTAATGATTGACGCAATTAGTCTGCCGTCAAAACGAGCCTCAAGAGCTACATCATCCGGTAGCCTATCAAATTGACTCCATTCCTCTCCGGCGAAGACTTCCAGCGAGGAAAAGTTAGCGAGAGCCGGGGGACTCGTCAAGCTTCTGGAAGTTAAAACTGGTTTGGTGACAGCGTTCATGAATTTCCAGAGAAAATTGGAATCGCTAGTTTTCGTCAGGGCACCGGGTCGGGGAATCGTAAGCCATTTGTTATAGACGCCTGCCAAAGGAGGTAGGGTTAGCTTGAATTAATAGATGACCAATCCATATACAATTTATTCAGTCTCGACTTACCTTTAATAAACATAGCTACAAGCTGAGTGGAAGGTAACGGCGGTAACCAGTAATGCCGATCGCGCATATTTATTTGAAAGGGGTCGAAAGCGACTGATTCGAGGAAGGGATCATTGAAATTGAGAGAATCTATCATGTCCGCATCGTAGTTGATAGTATTGGAGTATTCATTAGATAATGTAAAGTCCTGCATATTCTGGCTCGACACGACGCCGTTGATCTCTGCGCCAACCGCCATAGTAGTGGTCGTATTAACGTCAATTTCAGCGGATAGTATGCTCCTCTGAGATTCCAACTCAGACATATGTCCAACTTCAACCCGAGTTGTATCATCATAGTTACGTGAAACTAGACCGATGCCATTTAAGTTAGTCCGCAAAGGGCTATGTTAATTATCAAGAATATCACGAACCTGATTCTTTTCCCCTGTGCACTCTGGGTATATAGCGACGCCGGGCTCTCTGGAGCTGGGGTCTCGAGATTGTCCGGTCAATATGGGTTATTTCTCCTCCTTGTCGTGTTTCATTGATAATTCTTTCCCATTCAGCTCGCTTTATGTTTTTGCGAACCCTCCATTTTCGGAACCTGTGCTCATATTGTGGAACCCTTGAGAGGCATTAATCGAATTATTCAATTCCTTAGATGGTAGACAATTAAACTTGATATCAAAAGACACTTACGTGGCGGTGAAGCCTTCTTTCGCCATCGTCTCGATAACACCATCGTTCCCCTCAAGCTTACGTCCGAGATCAATATACAGTTCGCATATACGGAGCTTGTGGTCCTCCCATTCTCTATCCGTGATTCGTCGAGTTTCTGGTGAGATAGGCATCGTAAATTAGACTATAGAGATCAGAGTAGAAAATATCTCGTGCATCTAATTTGGATACGACACCATCTTATGTATACGAAACCCGATATCAAGCCAGAAAGTGAGGCTGTCGGTATTAGTCGGGCTTCGGCTTGAAGTCCTACGGTAGTACAAGTGCCAAGCCTCAATGACACGAATTTCCATTGGGTCAGGTATTGGAGGTCGCATCAGGTTTGGGCTATCAGGTTTTGCCAACGCCAGGTGTTGGGTGAATCTCGGTAAGCAGGCCCCGTAAGACTTGGGTAGGGATGATAAATGAGTATAACAAATGGGCGAAGCAAATCAGTTACACAGGGTGCCTAGAAATCGATAAAATGCACCAACAAGCTTGGAGTAGCTCGCACAGCCTTTCTTTATTTCCCTCCTTCTATTTTCGGTGGAAGGTTCCTATCATTTCAGGGGGTGCGTTAAAAAGGCGGAATATACCTAGGTTAGGTACATCTATCTCAGCGACGGAATAATAATGTTCATATGGATGTGGAAGCCGTGTGATAGTACCATATACTCCAACCTCTGAAGGCTATCCAATAGGAGCCTGTCAGTTTTTAACCATCAGGTTATGTCGCAGCATTAGGTGTTCACGGTATATTTCATGATATGGCTCATCACATATGTAAATTAGCCAGTGAGGCGATGACTAGTTGTGAAATAGTCGAGATGACACAACCTGAGCACAGGTTAAGAGTTCAGGTTATGTTAACCGGATGTAATTCCATGAAGAGGTTCTCTACAATATACGTCTCTAAGAGACAGGTTAGATTTAATATATAAATGCATCGACAAGAACGATGGTTTTTGAGGTTCTAACTAGACCATCACCTTTGTTTCCTCTATAACATCTCTTACCAGACACCCGTCAAATTAAGAGCTCTACAACGTTTTATCTAAGTTACAATACTGAAATCTCAGAGTTATGCCGTCTTCAAAGAACCAAGGCACTCAGGTCTCGGGAGACTCCAGCAGGTACATATTGCTTGTTGTAGTTGGCTCTAACCTAGACGTTGACCTAGCTTTAGTAAACAAAACCACTACCAGCACTCTATGCTGCAAGAGTTCCTTCGTGCTGAGCCAACTGTGGCCGAAAGACTCTCCCGATTAGTCCCGCCCAAGGAAGGGGGAGAGAACGAAAAAGGACACGATGATAAGGCAAAGGAAGCAATTAGGAAGTTCGAGGATGCCTGGCGCAATGCGAGCAAATGATCCACCGTTCCAGTTGCTAAAGGATGCTTGATATGGGGTGGAGATTCACTTTCAGTAAACTTAAGGCGAGGCTAGGCGGAGAAGCGTTGAAGTTATTATTAGAAATCCATGCCCGAGTTCTACCTTGGGCTAACATAGTTTCTTTGGCAATATATGTAAACTGTTAGGGATAACTGCAAGGCTCATATACGGGGCAGATTCTACACTCTTTCAGGGAGCTAGCTGTAAGCTAACCTCCTAAATAGTCAATCATTATTACTGTTATACTTGAAGATATTAACGCCTGTTTGGTAATACTAACGCAGTGAGGATGCTCTGCCGATTCCGCTAGTTACTATCAGAGGGAGTAAGTAGGTACTCATCCTAGCAAATCTAGCCAAAGATATGTGAAAGTTTAGATGAAGTGATATTGTTAGGTTTGGGAAGATGAATATCTATGAAACCCCTTCTGACCCCCTAGTTGTATTAGTGATCAACGCGACAATTAGGATTATAATATGAGTGCATCTAAACCTGTAGAAGAATAACTTATATTAGTGATGAAAAAAAAGGAGGGGCGAGTAATAAAATTACCTAAAGATATGTAAAATAAAGATCCATTCAAGTGAGTATAGGTAAGTCATAATATGTTATTATGTTATTTGACATCGCGTTTCTCAAAGGTCGGTAATGATCTTCAGCTGCGCATACTTTGTTCTGTGTCCTCGGGTGCGAGATGGCTCAGGTACATTTATTTCTCAAATCACGACTCTAAGAAGGCCTAGTCAATCAAATTTAGAAGAACACTGTACACGTAGCTACCTATCTATTGGTCTTCAATTTCTCGTAAACGCCACCCATAATATTTTAGGTTTAATTTATATGGTATGATATGACGATTTATACCCTTTTTAGGAGGAAAGCCACCAATGAACCATGATCCTCGTCGATTTAGATACATTACGGGGCCAGCTGATAAGTTTGCATATACCAACGCACCTTAGTTCTTACGAATTACGTGAGAAAAGCATTAGAAATTCCGACTTTCGTACTTCGTACTTCTCACTGCTCTCGAGCTGCACTACATATGTACCTAGTATAGCAACTTAAATTCTTTGTTCAAAACAAAAATCCCGGTTCCCCTTTAGTACGGATATTTCTTCGCTCCCAGTACGGACTTCTCTATCTGTCTAGCAAGATGGCGGGACAAGCGCTGCGCGAGCAGCTTGCAGGAGCAAGTTATCCGCCAGTGGCACCCAACTGGGGCGCCGACTATTGTACCAATCATTATGACACGTACGACTACATTGACCCTGTTAAAGGGTCTAGTTGCACCGGAAAGGCCATTCTAGTGACTGGGGGGAACAAGGGAATTGGAAAAGGCATCGCTTTATCGTATGCTAGAGCAGGTGCATCGCACATCGCCATCACATCCCGCTCAGAAGTCCCGGAAGTTGTAGCAGAGATTGAGAAAAGCGCGACGGGTGCCGGAAGAGCGAAACCGGTAGTAACCGTCCTGCGGTTAGATGTCACCGATTCGTCACCGATCCAACGAGTGTGGCTAACGCTGCTCGCGTCTTAGAAGGGCAATGGGGCCGACTCGACATCTTAATTGGCAACGCAGGATATCTGTCCAAGTACGACAAGATCTTAGACGGAGACGAGGAAGGATGGTGGCGGAATTTCGAAGTTAACGTTCGCGGAAACTACCTTGTCGCGAAGGCTTTTCTACCCCTGATGCTAAGGGGCGGGGACAAGACTATTATTAACATGTCTTCAACTGGAGTCCATCATTTCCATACAGGCGGAAGTGGTTATCAGCTCAGCAAGTTTGCTCTTCTGAGGCTCACCGAGTATCTCATGGCAGAGTACGCAAATCAGGTGAGCTGGGCCATGCATTTCCCTTAAAATATATAGTTACATAGTCATCTGATATTATTATAGGGCCTACTTACCTATTCAATACATCCAGGAGGGTACGTAAAGAGAGCTCCCACTAACCATCTAGTTGTAGGTTAATTGACTGTTCGCATAAATAGAGTCGTTACGGATCTGACTCGGGCGTTACCAGAAGCAACACAAGGTATGTTGTCTTCCGTAATAGTCGAATATCTTTGCTGAATCTAAGAACAACAAGCTTGGCTTAAATGCACACCCGCCTTAAGTGGTGATACGATAACCTTCTTAACGAGCCGGAGACAAGACTGGCTAGCGGGTAGATATCTTAGTGTGATGTGGGACATGGCCGAATTATTCTCCAAGAAGTACGAGATCATCACAAAAGATGTTTTGAAGATGAGGATGACTTTCTAGATCGAAGGCTTGTGGTTCAGCGTCTGCGTAGACCTGGGTCTGTTAGACTCTCATATCTCATAGCGCACGCCGTCGTCAACATATCAATAGCAATCTGACCATGCAAAATATTCGTGATAGATTGAAAACTAATCGAATAACGGAATTGCTTAGATAGAGGATTAGACCACTGCTAATAGAAGGAGGAATTAACATACGATGAGTCGTAATCACCGCGAGTAATTACAAATCAACACCCGGTGGCCTAGGAAAAAGGACGAGGGTCAACGGAGACACGCCATTCTTTTCGCTATTTAGTCGTCGGTCTATACCATTTTTGTATTGCCAATGGCTGCGCCATCAGGTCTTGTCATTGGTATGCTGGGATCCTTTTCCGACCACCTTCGGAGCTTCGTAAGCTTAGCGGCGGGAGCGCACCGAAACGCAACCTCCGTGCCAGGCCAGCGTTGCGAACAATTAGCAACTACCAAATAAGATTTTTATTATAAACATACCCCAAAGCGCTCAATGGATCCTATACTCTTCAGATGCAACTCACTCATCGATAAATCATGCCTCCAATGGCTTTCTTACAGTCAGCTTTGTCTCCGGCCAGCGTCTTGGCACCCATCCATCTTCTATCTTACTCCACGCTCCTCGGTATGGAACTATACCAGTCATTCGTAATGACGAAAGTGTGTTACCAAGAGTTACCCCGATCCGCTTTCACCACGCTCCAAAAGCGCATCTTCCCCCTTTACTTCCGGGGGCAGACCTTGCTTCTCCTATTGACAGCAGCGACGGTCCCTCCGTACGGGCCGCTGACGCTGCAGTCGAGCAAGGGCAATTGGATACCATTTGCTATTGCGGGGGTCACGGCGCTCTTTAATCTGATGCTGTATGGGCCCCGGACGCGACGGGTTATGATTGATCGGATTCATCAAGGTGTGTATCTATTTATTGAGCGCTGAAATAGGAGCATGGCAATCGCTAATCGAGACACAGAAACACGGGATGGGAGGAAATCGAATGACCCGACTGAGGTTAGCGACGATATGAGAGCGTTAAACAAGACGTTTTCGCGTAATCATGCGATGAGCATTCATCTGAATGTCATTACTATAGGGGCTACTCTCTGGTGGGGGTTGAAATTGGCCTTGCGATTGGACATGCAGATTTAAGAGAGTTTACAAGCCGAATGCTAGCATATTGTGCCATATTGGATGTATTGGTAAGATGTAGCTTTATGTGTTCCTCTTCGTATGATAATGAGGTATGAGGAGGAAAGGCCATCAAGGGTCGAGGGGTTGGGGGGGATTATCTTGGACTAGGCCTTCTAAATTTAGAGCAATAATTGATGTGATATTTACTATTACATCTTCCACTAACCTAGGTTAAAGATGTCGCGTAAATTATATTGTGCTCATCCATTACAGCTCGAGGACTAGCTTAATGCCGCTAACTCCCGCTTTCAAAATTTCAAGACCCTTGTTAATACCGTGTAGACCTCCCTCGAGTACTTGGATCTTGGGGCTCGGGACGATTTCACGCTTCTCCAACCTCTCCTTCAGCCAAGTATTAAACCAGAACGAGAACTGCTCATGTCGCACCTTATCGTCAGGCGAAGCAGCAACGAACTTGGTCTCGACATCGTCCGTAGTAGGTCCGTCTGGGCTCAGACGAGGTGCAGAGGCCAGATGAGCTGGACCACTTCCCTTTAACGCCTTCAGGATGGTATGGCAGGATGGTATAGCGCCCGCGGCATCGTAGCCGTACTGGAATGTGAGACCGTCTTCTTTGGCTGCCTTGATTATGGCGTCTTCTACGCCGGGGTCCTTGTAGTCGAAGACTTTGGATGCGCCCAGCGATTTGATGTATGCGTGGTGCTTTGAGCTCGCGGTGGCGTACACGGTGAAGCCGAGTAACTTAGCACTTTGCACTACTACGCTACCGACGCTGGACTATAGCATTTGGTATTAGTACTTTTACTAGCTCGACATTTTAGAGGACTGTTAGGGGCCGTATGGTGCATCCTGAAACTTTCACCCTAAGATAAAGAGATTCAGAGATCTACTTACAGCAGCGCCCCAGACCAGGAGTCCTTGCTTGTCACTGGGCGAGTAGGAGGTATTGCGGGAAACACCAATGGTTTCCCATCCAGACCATGTTGTGGCGACAGCCATAGGAAGGATAGCAGCTTCGTTGAACGAGAGGTAGTCAGGAATTGGAGTAGCATTTTGCGCAGGAATAATAGGCCGCTGCTGAAAGGCCCCGTAGTCAGGAGCTCCCTGAACGAAGACGGTCGGCGCAAAAGCCGCGACACGAGTTCCGGGCTTGAAGGTGGAAGATACGTTGGAGCCAGCTTCGAGGACTACACCGCTAATATCCGAACCAACGACGACGGGATATTTGGTGATGAAGAAGCCTAAGTCGCGCATCTTCCAGTCGATGGGATTCAGCGCGATCGCCTTCACGTCGAGGAGAAGCTCATCAGGCCCGGGTTTAGGCGTCTGCTTCTCCTGGACTTCGAGCGGCTGGCCCTTTCCGGTAACGAAAGCTGCGAGGTGCGTTGCCATTATGAGTGTCTATTTCCTTTATGTGGGTATTTTAAGGTAGGTATATAGTGTTATAGATCCGTAAGTAGAGTTGAAAGGGGGAGGGCAAAGACGAATATACAACGGTTTATATTAACCGCGCTGATAGTAAATGTCGCAAGGATTGATATATCTATCCGCTTATTTCATACTTCCATAGGTGACGATGATGAACAATCATAATTTATATTCTTCGCTCGTTCGGACTATCGCCATCGTCTCGGTTCGGGTTTACCTAACTCTCTCGGAGTTAAATGACTGCCGAGTTGAGAAGTAATATAGCGAAGCTCGTGAACGATTACCAAGCAGCCGGTCTGAAAAAGCATCTAGCCACGCCATTGACCATGTTACTATAGTGCAAACAGGCACAGCTAGCAAATCCATCTGCAGGTGTATGTCATTGAGCTACTATCCGGGATGTTTGGCCGTACAAGTATGGGATTAGGAAAGCCACCATGGACTCCTATTGGCTTGGAAATACGTTAACTCCGGTATCTAGCTCCTAGCCACATCCATTCTTACATTTACGGGAGCCAACATTATACCATCGAGATTGTGCAAACATTAAGTCAATTGTATCCAATATTGCGCACTATTAACATGCCCATCACGGCTTATGAATTTGTGGTTCAGGAGTCTACGTTAGATATATGTACAGATAAATCTTGGTACAGTCGAAGGTGCCCTATCAATCCTTTATCCTATTTCTCCCAACTCCTAAGTAAATCGCTAACAGGCGCAGCCTTTCGTCACCACCTCCGAGCTCATAGAGAAATAAACATCACTGCGCTACATGTTCCGTCTATGCACGGAAGATAGCTCTGCGTCGGTTACCGAAGCCGTTGTTGCCTCGGCCGTTTCCAGCATTAGCATTATTGGTACCAGCGTTGGCGTTGTTAGCACCGGCATTGGCACCAGCATTAGCATTGGCATTGCCGTTGTTTCCCTTGTTACCACGGCCGTTGCCGTTGCGTCCGCTTCCACCGGTGGCAGTAGCACTCGCAGCAGCACTGGTAGCGGTAACTGAAGCATCAGGGGCGGTGGTGGCCGCGGCTTGTCCCGTGACAATATCGAGGGACTGGAAAGAAGCGGGCAAACTGGTAACAGTTTGCTTCAGAAGCTCGCTAACAGCAGCGGCGTTCTTCAATGCCTCATCGGTGCCTGCATCTTGAATAGCGGCGACGGCAGCGGGAAGATCAGCCTGGTCATTGGAAACCTGCTTGAAGACCTTTTCAAGAGAAATTCCTGTGGAAACCTTGGCCGCAGTGTTCTGGCTGGGCTCCACATCGACCTGCTGAACGGGGAAGCATCCACCGAAAGGACCAGCAAGAGCGTTGTTTCGGCAACGAACGGTACAGACGTTACCAGCGGAAGCTAGAGAACAGTTGTTAGAATATGGAGAGTTTTCCATAAATTTGTAGGCATAAACTTACATCCGCTGCAAGTGAAATTGTCAGGCATGTTCACGGTGATCTCGAACTGCTGGGTCTTGGCCTGGGAGAAACCGTTGACACCGGGAACGTTGTTCTCAACTGTCAGGTTCTGAGAGATGACACCGTTGTTGCCAGCCTCGACCTATTATACAAGTTAGATCAAGATCAAGATGTTATAAGATTGATAGGAAACATACCAGGTCGCAGGCGTAAGGACCGGCACCATCAGCGTTAACTTGGTGGATGGTAACCTTGACTTGAGATCCAGACTTGACTTGAGTAACGGCGCCAGCAGCAAGGGCATTCTCCGTGTTCTCTCCGATATCGATGTTGCCCGATAGTTCTGTTCGTCCGCATTCGTTCACTACGTTGGCGGCGATCTCTGCATCTCGAATAATTGTTGTGTCCTGTTGGCAAGGGCTGATGGACGTGCAATTCCTCGCTAGTTCGGGTTCAACCTTAAAACCGACACTTTCAGGCGAGCCCGCAATACCCTGTGCCCCTAAGATAACACCGTGAGCCTGGGCAACAGCCAACAGGGACGCAAGAGAAAAGATAGTTGATGAAATGGACGGCATCTTGAAATAGGATATGGACAGCACCGGGCCGATAAGTGAATGATAAGGCACAAGAATGAGTGAATTAAGAATAAACAGATCCACGGGATCGTCAGCTGCGAATAGAATAACGTAGGTAAGAAAGGGAAACCGGCCTGCTCAAGAACATGGAAGACGACGATCCGTGGTGAGCGGTGCTGGCATATATACATAATAAGTAACGGAGATCTTGTTCGATCTACGCAGGCTGGGCATTGCACCCGAGCTGGGCTAGCACCGACTTGTCTTGCCGAGTACTTTGTACAGAAACCCCTAGACAACCAGCGCGAACCGATATCCAACACGATTTGTGTCAAGCATGTGGGTTTCAAGCAGCTAAAGGAGCCTCCCTTGGACATGGATTCTTTCTTTGCTAGGGCAAGCCTTTGCCTTGTTAGGTACGTACCGTGGTTAAGTGACGGCGGAGAGCCGTTTCGAGTCTACCTCATCTCGCGAGTGGGCATGTTAAGTGACCCCCAAGCTTCAAGCGCGCCACTAGAATATTCGCGATGTCCTCAGTTGCCCTGGGAGAAATGTCTCGACAAGGTCTGGTAAAGGAGGCGTCCTGTCCAGGGTTTAAATTTCTTATTATTCGAGCTAAGTCCTGAAAATAATTCCATAAACGTCTAAGTGGAGATGTATGTACATGTTCGCGAATCCCTGTTGTACAATACTGCATTTTACGTAGGGCAGTGGGTACTGACGAAGACGTCTCGCAAGCAGCGAATAGGAATGAATACCTACCCAGCCAATACGGACGATAAAGCTTTATAGAGATAAAATCCACATCGAATTTTAAAGCGAAATGAGTCGCCGCGCAAATAATATTTATATAACATGCCTATGAATTATGAAAATACGGTGTAAGTAGGGGGTTAAGTTAACACAATATTGCTATAACTTTTAAGCAAGTATTCGCGATATATGATCCGCTGCCTAAAGGAACACTTAAGATGGGCAATTCGGCTCGAGCCGACAGTGGCTGAAGTGGCGTACAGGTATATGATCTTCCACGAGGGATGTGAACATAAGGCGCTCATAGGTATGTACTCCAGATGCACTGATCGCTTACGATCTGCCGGCTCGTACTAATCCTTCCACGTTTCGACCCTTGTGCCAGATCTCGGGCCAAGACGTTTCTAATGTGGATATTCGCGGTAATTAAAGCATTATCCTGCGTATCTACTGGAAGAAATATCAGCTACGAGGAAACCCCTTAGCATATTTTATGCCCAAGGGGCCTCTTGATATCGCACGGTGGTGGTGTGGTTGTCCTGTAGCGTCCGTTTCAAGCTGCCGTTGCACCAATGACAGATGAGAATGGCGACTGAGTGCCACCCTGCCCTGCAGATATGAGGCAAGGATACCAACGGGGAGCTAGGGTAGGGTACCCTTCGCCCGGCGCGATACCCCCTAAAGATGTTCTAGTAAAGTTCGTAGGCGATATACAATGGAGATAATAATTACATAGCTCCTACATAGTTACTCAGTTTTAAGATCTGTATTATCGCATTCATTACAGCGTAGACGCATATAAAATTTAGCTGTACCTAATGCGGCTCGAGTCTATTATGAGCTACTTTAACTTCAAGGCTAGAAGGGGTTATGAAAGGGTCTAGTTCAGGGGCCCTTCATCAATGCCAAGGAACAATCGAGACTCAGTAGGCGCTCCAATTCCAACACTCACCCCCTAAATAGGCGAATGCGTTGCCAGACTAAGCTATTAATCTCATCACACTCAAACATTGTACGAAACCCTTATGCTCGACATTTGTTTGTCATCAACGCATCAGCATACATAGGTAGGTGGTCATAACAATTACCCGGACTAAATCAAAGCATCGGACAGTCTAGTTTATATTTTGAGCCAAAGTATTAAAAGACCATGGAGCAAAACATCATAGTAGACACGGGATCGTGGGATTTTCACCGCCACCGTTATCTAGGTCCTTAATGAGTTCATGCCCAGAAGTTTTAGCTATAGCTCTGCTTCCATCACGGAACGCCTTTCGATTTTCAGAGGAGTAAATATGTAAATAGGATGAGACTACGAGGTATCGTGCGAAGCCTCCCCCATTCAGCGGCACAGAAGGCCAAGCTTTTTATCTAGGCATAATACTCTTCCTCCGTCGATGAAGAATCGTAACATGCGACTTTAAATTCGGCATTTTGACGTCGTAACAATATACTACAAGTAAAGAAGAGTCAGATAAGTATGTAAACTCAACTCGATGATTTGCATTGATAGTCGCTAGCGCTCTCTGATACATAATAAACCAAATCTTCTCTCCATAACTAGTTCGAATAAGTTCGCAGCATTGCACGCAAAATGTTGCTTACTATGACGAGCCCCTGGATTATGCCTCCCTAACCCATGATCATGGGGAAAGGAGGGGATATTGGGGATTGGAGCGAAAATACGAGAACCTCCTTGAGGAGCTTAAGAATATAGTGTCCCTACGACCCCAATATCGTGAAAATTTAGGCATTGAGATCCTATGAGCTTTTTTCAATCATTCATCTCGACTCGCTTTCGTTCTCGACTGTACTGGTCTCAAAATATCTCTCAATACCTTCTTGTTTGAGGGTCGGCTAAAAACATTATCTTGGCTCACGGCATGTGATACCAAGAAAAGCACGAACATGGGACATTATGCGGATGGGAGCTGGTGTAGTTCCTAGTAACATGAAGGGATAGAACCCCGATATCCCGCAATTGCAAGATCAAGAGATCATAATCCGAAGTCCTATTGGCTAAACCGGTCCATCAAGTTGTAACCAGTGCACCAATAGAAGAAATGAATAGCTAGATTTTTGCGATGCTGTGGTTATTGCGTTTCATCAACCCCGGTCGACAATAAGTAGACAACCTCTATCACACTTTGTGGTTTCAGTTTTACCCTTCATCTTTCGACATGACGTAACAGCCCAGATAAATAGTAATGACAACATTATTGATATTATCACACTGCAACATACGACGCATATGCCGCTTAAGTATATAAGAAGACCCTTTCCGCGTCATTGGTCGTAGTTGAGAATTGTTAGCATACACGTATGATTTTTCAGACGAACTTCAGACGCCAGAGGTAAGAGACAATTCTAGACATTACTAGGGTGACATGTCGTATTTATTCTAACAGTAAAAGCCGACTAGCCGGCCATATGTATCAGCAATGATATTTTTTGCGTAGTAGATGGAATAGAGATTGATATGAAGTAACCATAACTCAGGATAATAACATTAACCAATACTTACTTGACATGAACTCTACTTCCAACTATAGGAATGTTCACGTGTTGACAAAAAGGTGGAGTGCATTATAACAATATTATAAAATGGCAACTTTCCGTCATTCAAACATGACTCTTCCCTTCTAGTGGTAATATATGTAAAGATGATTCAGTTATCTCAAAAGTTGTTTAGGTATTACTCATGGAAAACTTCGAAGTCGCTTTGACTCTGACATGAGCCAGTCACTGTTGAGAGACTCAATCAACACAGTAGCGGAAGCTTGTTCAGGCCATATAAGATAATGATGGGAACGTTTACGCCTGTTGGGGGCTGTATGATATCTAATTAGATACATATAGCGGCGCATCAGTACCACTCTAGACGTCTAGAGTACTTCCCCGAGGGCCATATAAGATAACTGTACATTGTAGTCGATGAACATATCTCGGTGGATATTATCAGATCCAAACCGCTTTGTGTCATTATACAATTACCTCACTTAATATTAACGAGTTTCCAATCTAGAAACATGAATATTAAAATGTAAGCTTTTAAATGGGTGAGAGCTATTGGCATCTAGACTTTATTAAAACATCTCACCTCGCCCAAATCCCGCTCTGCTCTAATATATTAACAGAGCATCAAGCTGTTGCCTTGGCCCTTCAACCGTATTTAGACGGTATTACTAAGGCCTAGGTGACATTACTCAGAGTGTCTTTGAATGCAATAAATCACTTAACTCTATTGATGTTATCCCTCACATAATTTGACGCTGACCCTCACATAAGCACCTCGGCTGAGTTGGGAATTGGTAGTTGCCTATTACATTTCTTGGCCGTACTCTACGATATATTGGAGGCTAGTAACGAAAATTTAGAACACAATTGTGTAAGCTGTCCCGAAGTGTATTTTCTTGACTGTTACGCGGATAACTTCACTTCTTAGGGCTGACAGCTGAACGACACATTTAAATACTACCCCTGGGCCATGCCCACATGACAGCTTCTTTCCATAGCAAGTTGTAAAAATTCCTTCTCATTTAGTCGTCCTATGTAAGATAATTTTACCTAAGTATGGAAAGGCGACCTCACCGTATAAGTGCTACTATTGGCTACCCACCATGCTGATCTCATCAATAAACAGTCAGACTATAGTACGGCAGAGTTACGATGAGGCTGGAAATAAACATCTACAAAGCTTCATTCTAGAACAGAGAATATGGATCCATGCACGGCGTTACTGAGGGCGGCAGCGAAGCGAGCTGTTCAATGGGATAGCATCTTGTTAGGTGATGGCAATATCAAGTAATACCACTAGTTATTACTAACCATAAGCCAGTCATCACAGCATTTACGCCTCTGTCTCCGTGATAACGCATGATATCTCACGATGCTAACTTTACCTGACATCAGAGGCTACCTCTTATGGAGTAGCTTGAAGTCTCTGGGTCATGATGGCTTCACACGGACTATAAAGACGAGCTGAGATGCCAGCATCTTCTACGAGACTCACCACAAATCATCTCGCTTTAAATAAGCCATCAATAGCTTTGGAAAATCACCTCGCTCATATATATATATACTTAAAACACCAACAATGTCCCCTCCTCCAGCTGAATCCGGCTACAGCCTAATCTGGTCCGACGACTTCTCAGGCGCAGCGGGATCTCTCCCCAACCAAGGAAAATGGAACATCATCACCACTGGCCCTAACCAGGGCAACCAAGAAGTGCAGCACTACACCGCGAGCACCGCCAACTCCTCCCTCAGCGGCTCCGGTACCTTGAACATCACCCCTCGCCACGACAACGGGCAGTGGACTTCTGCCCGTCTCGAGGGCCAGCAGGCTTTCAACTGCCCCGACGGCCACCGACTCCTGCTACAGGCCGAGCTGCGCACCGGAACGTTCCCAGCGAACCAGCAGTCAGGAATCTGGCCGGCGTTTTGGGCGCTAGGAAATGATATTCGCAACGGGAAGGGTGTTCAATGGCCGCAGTGCGGTGAATGGGATAGTAAGTGCATGAGTTCTTTTGCCAGACAGTGACAGAAAACGTTACATAGAAGAGGGTATGGAAGATATTGTGGACGCGTACTCGACTAACTATTCTCCCAGTCTTCGAAAACGCCCACGGTAACGACTGGTCCCTCGCCACCCTCCACTACGGGCGGGGTGGTTCAGACCACCTGAGCAAGGGCAGCAGCCAGGAGCACTTCCAAGTCGAGTCCTTCCACACGTGGGCCATCAAGGTCAACCGCGGGCCGAGCAACTGGCAGGACGAGACTCTGGAATGGTATCTCGACGGAAACAAGTTTTTCCAGATCAAGGGGAGCGATATAGGAGACGGCGAGTTGTGGGGACGAGTCGCTCACAAGAGCTTCTTCCCTATCCTCAACGTTGCTGTTGGTAGTAATTTCCCCGGTAAGTGGTTGCGAACAATCTACCGACGACTCTCTGTGGTTCTATGGAGTGCTAATACCGATATAGGGGGTGGCCAGCCCGATGGCAACACCACCACTGGTCTTGGCAGTGGCTTGCAGGTCAAGTATGTTGCCGCCTACAGGAGCAACTAAACCCAACTGATGTCGATATAATATATCCGCATCGTAAGTTCCTCATTGAAAGTGTTGCTTTGTAGTAGGATCGAGTTTGCGCACTTTTGGATAAACGGCACAGGGGGTCCTATAAATCATTTTGTTTAACATCCTTCTTGTCATATCATGAAATATAAATCTCCCATAACTGTCATATAACACATTTAACCTAGCTATATACCTTATATTCTTAACCCTTGGTCTTAGGGCCGTACGTTTTAAAGAACGAGGTTGTAATTCCTAAAACCCAACTATTCCCTTGGTAGCATTGTTAGCAAGACAATATAGAACCCATTCACTGAAGTCCTTCCGTATCAGCAATCCGGAAGACGTATTTGATGCCATTTGCTTTGCCGGCCTTCAGGTTTTCCAGACCCTCTTGAATTCCCCCGAGTCCACCCGGCACGACGACCTGCGGCTGTGCCTTAAACCAGCCCTCCTGCAGCCCTCTTCCGAAGTACCGGAAGTACACATAGCCAAAGTCCTTATCCTCAGTATACACCGAGCCCACCATGGTAATGGAATGCGACACGTGAGCTGGGTATTCGAAGTTCTGTGGAGATAGCACGCTCGTTACCTTAGAGCCCTCGGTCAGGACCTTGCTTATATTGACGTAGCTATTGTACTCCGAGGTGGCATCCAATGCGTACAAGATCTTGGAATCACCGGCTGCTTTCTTCAATGCTTCGACGACGGCATCATCCCCGCCACGGTAGTCAATGATAACGTCTCCTTTGCTACGGTCGATCAAAGTCTCCACATATGCATGGGATTTCCCAGCAACGCAGATGAGAGGGTGGATGTTACTCTTCCGAGCGAGCTGGACGGCGTATGCCCCAACAGAGGAAGCTGCTCCATAGATTAAAAGGGGTGTGGGTTCGATTGCCGGTGTCCACGGTTGCGGAAGACCAAGTTTGACATAAAGACCGACCGCTGCGGTCATTGCCGCTAACGGAACTGCAGCAGCCTCTAGAAAGTCAAGCCCGTTAGTATATCACAGGTATGGAATCCTCACGCTCACTGTTAATCCATACCTTCGAATGTGGTCTTCTGCGAAATATGGAAAGTAGTGTTTTGGTGTGAGATCGCATATTCAGCAAAAGACCCGTGAGGGGTTAAGAATTCGTGGAATCCGGCGACACGGTCGCCAGGCTTGAACTCGGTCACATTAGAACCAACTTCTTGAACGATACCACCAATGTCGTCGCCCTGGTTTATGGTGACATCCCGCCAATCCGGCACCTTCCAATCCTTAGGATTAGACCCGCTCACTACGACCTTGATAAGGACTTCGTCGGCTCCGGGCTTTGGGATGGGCGAGTCGATGATCTGGACCTTGGGGCCTAGACGATGTTTAGCCCTGCTTAAGAGTCACAGTTATCTGACTCTCACCTGGTGCTACGAGGGCTTCCTTCATTGTGAAAATTGGTATTTTTGTACGTTTAGTTTGTATATGGAACAGATATGATAATGTTGTCGTTGTCGTTTTAATGACTGGGACTCCCGGTGGAATAAGTACCTACGTAACCTAACCTACTATCTACACTCGAACGGCGGGGTTCTTAGCATAATAAATAATAGATACCTACCTACCTATGTATAAGAGCCGGTTGATCTGGATGATCTTGAGCAATAAACTATCGGCCCATTAGGTTCTGGATTTTTCGATAGTAATACAGCTTACAAGCCGAGATGAAGTTTGGTGTTACGGACGACTCTATAAAAAAGCATGTGGATTATATCAACCGGGCTTCTAATTACGTCATTATAGCTGTAACTTCGGCGTTAGAGAAATTTCTGGTTTGTAATAACCGAGTTATTAATCAAGGCTGGTTTCTACTGCTTCTATACTTGGATATGTGTGACCTCTAAGCTACATATCTAGGTAGGTATGCAAACAATACGAGAGTCATGTTAACTAGTTGAATCTAAATGCGGCACATAAGCTTATGAAGATGTAAGTCTAAACACCATTCCCATATTGACGCTATTTGGAATGAGCCTAGAACTACTTGGTTGGCCAAACCACCAAAGTGTCTGTAGAGTCATACAAAAAGGTAGATGTAACTTATACGAAAGTACATTTCAGGGAATACTATAATAGGTGCTTTACTTAAAGGTAGATACCTAAAAGTGCTTAAGAAGTGTACTTTTGAAGAATAAAGATCGTGCTTCATGAAGTGCGCATCCAAGTAAACTACCACTACGATGTCCTGCGACACCATACGTTCCTGTACACTTCCCCCCCCTGATGTAGCATCATGACTGGAGTGATCCATAAGCTTACATAGTACGGATCCGTACACGTAGCCACATATGATTTATAAACATGTGAAGGAATCAGCTGAGTTGAAGAAGCGTCTTATCATTCAACATTAACCATGTCGAGCTCACTATGGACCTTATTGCAGCAATTCTACCCTCCTGCGCCAACCGTCACGGAGAAGAACCTCGCAGCCGGGAGCCAAGTAGGCAAGGTATTCATCGTCACTGGCGCTAATTCTGGTATGTCATTGAGATGAGAGGGCAGTTGATTCCCAAGACTAAATGTGCTAATTCATATCTAGGTATCGGTCTAGATCTGGTGAAATTCCTCTATCCCACCGGCGCCACAATATACCTGGCCAGCCGTTCACTTGAAAAGATTGACAATGCCATCGCGCAAGTATCTGCCATCTCCCCTGCGCCGGCAACCCCTGCTACGCTCAAGTCTCTTTACCTGGACCTCTCAGACCTCACTACCATTAAGCCCGCCGCCGCGTCCTTTGCGGCTCAAGAGTCACGTCTCGACATCCTCTGGCACAACGCCGGCTTCGGCTATGAACCCGGCAGCGTGACAAAGCAGGGTCTTGAAGCCCACATCGGAACCCACTGCGTCGCCCCACTCCTGTTCACCCAGGAGCTTCTCCCGCAGCTCCAAGCGGCAGCGAAGTCCGCGCCCAAGGACAGCGTCCGCATCGTCTGGACCGGATCCATACGAATCGACATAAACTCGCCACCCGGCGGCGTCGACTTCGCCCGGATCGAAAAGCCGACTATCAACAAAGAATGTGAGTACGGCGCGTCCAAAGCCGGGAATTATTTCCTGGCGGCGGAGGGGGCTAGACGCTGGGGCAAGTACGGGATTATCAGCGTGTGCCAGAATCCCGGGAATCTGTACACGCCTATCTGGGGGAACTCCAGCTGGTGGCATATAGCATTTTTCAGGATTTTTGTCTTGTACCCATCCAAGTACGGTGCGTACACGATGCTCTATGCCGGATTCTCACCGGATGTAAACGAAGGTACCAATGGTGCGTATATTTGGCCTTGGGGTAGGATTCGACCTGTTGGACGGAGTGATGTGTTGCAGGCGGTATCGGATGGTAAAGCGGCGGAATTTTGGGAGTGGTGTGAGAAGAAATGGGGGCAATATGTTTGAGAGCTTATTAGTCCGGACTTTGGCACCAATGGCGGGCAGTATCGATTGATATAGCAGTACATTTTGTTTATAGTAGACTTATATTGGAATAGATATTCATCGTATTTGGGCAAGTTGCGACGTACGATGTAAGGTGTACAACATACGATAACTATACGATATACGAACATAAGTTAATAGGTACAGTGTAATATTCAGAATATAAGAGCTTTCTAGTTCCTCGTAACTGATTTGATATTAGTCGTAATACATTTTTCAAGTCCTAGTACAACGTTATAAAACTACACCGGATCTCTTCGTATCTACCTAGTTACAATCTCATTACTACAACCCCTTTCGACGCAAACCCTACATAATTATGACTCTTCATTTACCCCTGTATCAGTATCCTCGCTTGGATAGTCTGGGCCTCTCAAAAGTGCGTAGTTTCCTGATCCTTGAAGTAGGCGGGATCGTGCTATTGAATCCACACCCTGCCTCTACGCACGACGAAACAGTATGGATGTATCTGATCTTGCCGGATTCGACTCTAAACATATGGCTATCCGGCATTGGCTTCTCGCCTTGCGATCTATCCAGCCCGGGGAATCCGAGGTAGATGTCAACGACACCCAGAACCTCGTCCACAACGTAGCGGCGGTTGGTGACCACGAGCGTCGACGGCAGACCTGCGAGCGTGCATGAATCCCCAGTCATGTTAAGGGGTGCGGTAGATGCGCCACCTTCAAGTCTGGAGCAGGGAACTCCAAAAGGTACGGTTACGTTCTCGTTCTTGAACCTATTGAAATAGGCATCACCGGCCGCTTGGATGACTTGACGGCTGTCTCGCTTGTCCTCGGGGATTGGATCCCAGTTCTCCTGCGAGTTCCAGTACAGGTACCCGGTGGCATTGAAGGCCCAGTCACCAGTATCCGTCACTATCGACTCGATCAACGAGATCTTACTGTCGTTATTGAAGAGTATGCGCGTGCCGATGACATACTGGTGCGGGTTACTCGCGGCGATGATCTCGGTGAAGGTCGCGCAGTTGACGGTGTCGTGGATGCTACGGTTATGGTCGATCTTGATAGCCTCGGTCAAGACGCCTTCGTTGATAGCTTTAGGAACTTCGTTCTCGGTGTAAGTGACGTTGGGTGCCGCTAGTGCCGTCACATCGTCGCTGGACCCGGCAGCTTGAGCCGCAACATACTTGTTAGTAACTCCTACGAGAAAGTCTCTCGTACATTCGGCTGAAGCCGATGCGGAGAATAAGAGCCACCCTATCAGGATAAAAGTAGCCATACTCCAAGTACGCGTCTTATACAAGAACTAATTAGTACAAATGACTATCCAATGCGTTATTAACGATAACGACTCGATATGCCTTATTCGCGTAACTTGTGAATTGGAAGTGTCTACTGTTATATACTCACATATGTCCCTTTTCCATACACTGCTTCGCGGAGAGCGCTCACCCTTCAGGTAAGACTAAAACAGCCTATTATGCCATGCCTATCCTAAACTCCCCAACCCTGTCGCCACAACTTTGAAGTCATATAAACTGAACGAATCGGCTACAGTCGACGAATACTAAAGTCGGTAATAAATATTTATATTACGGTAGTAATCATTGACGCTACATAACCCTCCCCCCTGAGGCTCTAACAGCTGCCAATGGCTATACATATAACCACCCGATAGATTGCATGCACATAAATCTCTCGGCAATTAAGAAATCGTGGGGTATATCGTATATGATCTACTCTATTCGGCATTAAGTGAGGAGTAAGGCATACTTGTATATAAGTGTCTGATGTCCAGGTACGTGGGTACCTAGGTTACCTAGGTAGTTAGATCAAGACATAACCGAGTTCCTCAGAATAGAATGCCAATAATAGAAAATACATCAGACTCGCGCGAGTATTACTTCACAATCCCTAGATCATCCTGGCACAGCCAACTTTAGCCCGAAGATAGTCAAGAGCAGACTCGCTTAGCATCAGCGTATTGGTTTATAATCGACTTATCCAACCGCTTAACTCACATCTAGCTGCTTGTTGGCTAAGGGTGTTATAGCTATGGCATGTGAATATTACTTAGAGCTCGGCGTAGATAGGGGTATTCAATCAACTTTGTATAGTATTAATTTGAGTATTGCATAATTGGATTGTAAGGTAATAAAAGGTATATTTGAAAATGCGAGTCGTTGGCTTCTTTTCGCTAGACAATCTCTACACTGCAATCGCATGAGTACTAATTATGCCTATATCCATTGATGTTTAACGTTATCACTCAACAGGTTCACGAAGTGTTGTTGGAGATGGTATAGAGATGACAACCAATACCGAGCGCTCTAAGAAATCTGTATTTTTATTCCACATTTGCTTATGGATGAACTTTTTGAGGATGCTACCCTATATTATGTATCGGGCAGGATAATAAATAATGTACACCTCCCTCCTCAACCGCTGCCCAAATATAGGCCGGACCTAGGGTGATCATCAGACGTCTCGTCAACTTATTCGTACACTCATCACTCATATCTTTTCTTGCCATGTGCATTTCTTTATCGACCTTACGGGATACAAAAGTCGATCCAGCTACCTAAGTAATCTAGCCGATTACGGCTGCTGTCTGCGAATTCGTGCTCTCGATATATCTCCTCAAACTCCTTGTAGTTTAGTCTACCCCAGCCACCCCTTTCCCTTGCCTCTTGTTCAGCAAGGTCAAGACGCTTCCATGACATCAGTGTGGAGTGCGATATGTGGTCCGGGGCGTCGAGATCAATGCTTTTCGATTCGGTAGTCTGCTCATTTTTAGACGCGTCGGAGCCGTCGCTTAGTTTCTTAAATTTAGTGTTGCTTCCCGTCTGAGATGTGAGACCGTCAAGTGATGGTTGCGCTATGCTATTAGGTCGGTTCTGGGGTAGAGTAGGGTCACGGTATTCCGCGGGCTCTGGGGGGCTGGGGTCCTTTGATAGAACGTCCATCTCTTCATTGATAGCATTTTCATTGCTGTCCTCATTCTGTGTCACTGCAGCTGCACGTGATCCATGGTTTACGTTGGAGTGGCCAGTAAGATAGCCAGTGGTAGTGATATAGCCACTGGTTGAAAGCAATTCAGCCAAGCTTCGCTGCGAGATTGGAGGGCTCCCTGCCGGTGACTGATCTCTGGATTCCTCGTCTTCGCTTTCAAGGTCGATCGAGCTAAAGAGCTCCCGATACTTCTCACGCTGTTCTTTAGTTTCTGCTGCCTGGACAGCGAGATCCTCTTTCTTCTTGAAAATCTCGTCTAAGAGCTCGTTGAAAGCTTGTTGCGTGACCTGATAGAGGATTTCTTTACCAGCATCTCGCTCCGCATCCGGGATTTCCATTCCTCCCCACCTCTCCGGTACGCTTCGCGAAGAAGTAGACGGGTTGGATCTGGTTTCAAAATCATCCGCATCTTCAGCGAAGCGAACCTTGGAGGACGATCTTGATCGCGGGGAGAGAAAATGGGGTGCTGACTTAGATGACTCGACGATGCCATTCAAGTTTAATAGTACATCCTGGTTTTCATCCCATCCTTGTGGAGGCGCAGCACCTTCTTCCTCGTCTAGATAAAATTGACGTCGTTTCCACCTCTCAAGAAGCTTCTTTCGAGCGAGCAACCTCTTCCGCTTGTCAATACCTGATCGGTGGCTATTCGCTACAATTGCCTGATGCTGAACTCTGAGCTGGCTCTCTGTAGGTAATGTATTTGTAAACCTACTGGCATCGGGAATAGCCTGGGTAGTGGTTGGCTCTAGAGCTTCGCTTGGAGGGTTAGGATCAGCAGGTTCGCCCTCGTCGGTTTCATCGGCGCCTTGATCTTCGGGTTCGCTTTGTTTATCCTCATCAGACGAACCGCTCTCAACCTCATCTAGAGAATGTTGCCTTTCCTGGTGGATAGACTCCAGAATATCAGTAATGTGTGGGTATTCACCTGAAAGCAAAGATGCCAGGTCAACCGTAGTATGAGGAGGATTGATTATTCCGGACCAGTAACGAGTATCTCCGTCGGGGGATTGCGGTCTCCTAGAGGATCCGAATGATTCCGTGAAGAGGCTCTGGCTAGCGTTTCTAGCAAATAAACTGCTTAGGATTTCTTCACGGCTGCCCGTATCCAGCTTATCCTCGTTGATGACTCCTTTGTCATCGTTGACCTCAACCTCTCCGTTTGAACGGAATATTTTACCCTCCATCGGTCTCGAATGATCGGCCGCAGGGACCCTACCCTCCCGACCAAAGAGACTACTTAAGGGTTGTCTACCATTGATAAGCTGCTGAGCTTCGGTGGTCGTCATCATGTGGTCATCAAGGCCGTCAAGAATGTCCTTATGCATCTGCTTGTATAGCACATAATAAGCCCGGAACATACGTAGAAAGTCTCGTCGGCTGACATAGCCGTCACCGTCAATATCGTAACCGTCAAATGTTCGCTTAAGCTTGTCCTTCCTATTCCTGTACGATACGCCGTGGAGGAACTCTTCGAATCCAATAAGGTCGTCGTGGTTGGTGTCGTAAAACGCAAACATACGGTCGTGGATAAGGTTAGGTGCAGCGTGCCGATAACCGCCAGATGGAACAAGACACCGTTCAAAAGTCTTACGATCCATAGCCAAACCCAGCCCATTAGGATCATCTCTCCATTCAGTATTGGCCATGAAAGTCCACTGTTCCCAGAAAGCATCGAGTTCAACACGTTCGAAACCAGTATCTTGAGACCACCTGGTCAAGAGATACCGTGGTATACTGCGTATAGCGTTATCGGGATCGCCTGGATACCAGGTCGGTTGTACATGTCGAGTTCCAAAGGGCGGAGCGGGTATTTTGACTTTATAGAAGACGTGCGTCTTGTTGTGCAGACCCTGAGATTCGCATACCTCGCATAAGTCAAAGTCAGCGCAGTTGGCACAGCGATATCGAATTCCGCGTATGGGAACCATGCCGCAACCATTGCACTGACAGCTACGGTGCACATAAGCGTTGCGCCTCGCGTTATCTTCAGACACCCGGAATAGGAGCGTAACTATATTCTCACCGGTCCGCTGACGAGGGGCCTGGTTGCTGTCGTTATACCATTCGGTCGGGCTCTGTTCATCGGTGACGGTAGCATTATCTGGCGGGGCTGGAAAGGGGATTTCGACATTGCCCGCATCGTCATTCTCGTCGTCATGCGAATCAGATTCTGAGGAGTCGTCATGGCGATGGGATGTACGGCGAGGTCGTCTCACGGCATTACGGCGATGTAAACCAGGCCCTGTAGCAGTAATATCGGATTCTGAAGCGCGGTTCTGACTCTGTCGATAGTAGTAAAAGCCTAAGGAGGCCGCCGCAATAGCAGAAATCACAGCGATGGTTACCCGTGGGCGCGTCAAGGACGAAGCCACTGCTGAAGAGGATAAAGATGCCATGGTAAATGGGTGGCGCTCATGGCGAATACATACAGATGAGACAAGCGGAATGTAATCGGGCGAAGGATTAAGGAAGAAGTGATAAATGAACTTGGTGCATTGTAAAAGTCGTTGTTGCCATGTAAACGCAACCCTTCCTACGCTGGATAGGACATGATTTCTTCGATGTGCTAAATGGAAATGACAATATGAAATTTAGCTGAGATCACCTAAGCTAACCCCACAAGCATCTTACCCTGGGCAGAGGTCCACCCACCAAATCTTGGGTAGGTACCTACTTGTATTGTACATTAGGTTAGGTACGTAATGCAGCTGGGCGGTTCCTGGCGGCATCACGCTATGTAAGTACCTGGTACCCACTGGGTATGGAATTACATCACGTCCGCATCCGCACGGAAACATCACTAACCTACAGGTCCGACATTTTAATACATAGTATAGTGGAAGCGTTTGATGATAATCTCAAAAATTTCATTGCTATCTATTTTTTTATTTTTTTATAAAAGTAGAAGCATGGCTATACTCTTAAGAGCGAGGCACATGTCCCTTCAGTCGTTCTCCTTCTCTAATATGTATATCTCATCACAATCCCACGGCTACAAACAACCATATTAAATCAGTCCTGCGTTTCGGGTGTTATATACAGGTTAACACTGCAACAATGACCAACGCGTCGAACAACACCTTCAGTACCTTTAGCACCTAGTTCTCTGGATAATTTGCCTTTACGGTGAAGTTCTGAGGACCTGAGTAGACTTGCACAGTTCCGGTCGGTGACTGCTGGTTCGTCCATACGATCTGATCCGCCGAGATGGTGTGGATGGCATACGCCTCCCGATACCAAAGCTCAAGGTCTGCTCCGCCGTCTGAGCGCTTAGTCAAGTTGAAGAATGTCGACGGGTCGCTGCACGCAGTCTTCGCGACGGAAGGGAAGACTTGGTAGGTTCCCGGCTTTGCTGAGCATGCTGTCGAGTTCTGGCCGCTGGAGTACGACCAGGTGAGTTCGACGCTGTTAAAAAGGTTAATAACGGGTTCACTCCTATTGAGTATCACATCAACTTACTATCCGACCGACGAGTGCGGAGTAGCTCCTGCAGAGAACTTGGAGATAGAAAATGGTGCTTGGGTTCCCTTCGCATTGGCAAGACCAGTGGTGGCGAGAAGGCCGACAAGCGATGTACCTGAGAACAGCTTCATCTTGAAAACGATGGTTGATTAATTCTAACGAAGGTCTAACGAGAGTCTGGTTTAAGCGAGAGAGCTGAAGCTGTAATGAGGATGAAAGCTAACTTGGGTATTTCTTGATGCGACCTTCTAGGTCTATATATATGCATGACGGTACCTGTCATCATCGAATCCTACCTGCCTCTGAATGGTCCCAACTAAAAAGGGGGCGATTCAATCAACGGCTCTTCGCTTTCTCCCGACGATCGATACTTCCCGTTAGGTCTAGAATCGCATCAGATGGTAGGTGTAGCCTCAAATGCACGTAGACGGTGCCCGTCTATGATAATGATTTCAGTGGAGAAATAACGATCTGCCTACCTCCCTACTTTCTTATTCGCACTGCGAATCGTTTTCTATTGGTCCTAATGATATCAGTTTAGAGGCTTTTGACGCCTTTCTCAATTTACCCAGCATTGTAGTGTTCTGAGACATGCTCAAAAATACGGTAACATGGCAGCCATGGCAGGCCTCGTATTCCACTCGAGGCTTAAACTCATCATCCGATTCGCTCAGGCTCGCAATGGGCAATGGTAGATCATCGCCCAAACTGCAAAACGCTACCCAAAGTGTAGCTGCAGGGCGCTGGCCTTATCCCTAAAAAGTAGTGAACTTCATGCTTCAACACGACAAACTGTCGGTCCAATTAGAACCGATTAAATGTCTCAGTATAGAATATACTTGGTGGCTTACCATTTGGCATATATAGTGGGCTGAGCCGTCCCCTAGTCATTATCACCGAAACGTCAAAAATGTCTTTTACAACGTTGCAAGAGTCGGCCCTTCCAACAAGGTCGGAATCGGGCAGAATGAGAATGAGGAGCTATACATATCAGTTCTACGGGTATGTTACTCCGGGACTGTATGTATGTCTTTCCTCATGGCAAATCCTCACTGTTCTCGGAGACTCCGAAATCTCTTCGTGATGTTGACGTTACAGGAGCTGAACTAATAGATATATCAATGGATTGTTCGCTTCTACATAATTTTCATATTGCTTTATCGATAGGAAGAAGGCGCAGGGACTGTAGAACTGCATTAGCAATACTCGTATAAATCATATCGACATGACGCTAAGAATTATCGTATACAGATCATTCGAGCTACAGCACTTGGTGAAATATGATGCTTTTAAGTATATATCTGTTTTATAATGTAACAAGGTTCAATAATCAACCTAGCATAATTGTTTTTCTTTTTTACTATACTAGCTGACATCTTTACGTTAGGTAATCTCTAGATAAAGGTAAGACCCAGGTTAGCGGCTTCGGCATCTAAAATTAGGCCACCCCACCCCCGCGACTACATAACAGTCACGTACATTCGTACCCCCACCGCCACACAGCATCGAGGCGCAGCAAAGCGGCTTGCGTTATGCTTCCAGGTTTGTCTCGGCATACCTATACTGCAAAGTCACTAATAGGACAGCCAAAACACAAGCATGTATTGTATCAGCCCACCTGTCCACGTCAGCTAGCCAATTCTTGAGTTTGTAGATTTTTACAGATAAACTGCCCTTTCTGAAGAAACTGCAACGTTTCGCCTTAACCTGCAATGCCTTCGTACCACTTGTAAATCCCCAACCTAGGTACCCAAACAGACGCTCATTCCTACGCAACCTTACACTCGTTAACAACACCCACTTCCTACAACATACAACATGGCTCCGGTACACGAGAGGCCCGGACTCTTCATTTCCGAGCACCTACTCCGCAGCGCCAGAGCTGCCGTGGTAGCAGCCGGACCCGAGGTCGCCAGACTCGCTCGGCGGGATGCCGTATCGCGCCGCGACTTAACTGTTACTAGCGATGCCCAAAAAGTTACATTGGGTATCATCGCCGTCTATGTCGTCGTTATTGCCATTTTATGGAACGTTCCTTATGTGCGATGGTCATTATGGCCTTTCAAGGTATGTATCTATTAGCTGTTGCCTGTATGTCTTGCTAGGTATGGGGCTTCCGTTACTAATTATGTTTCCTAGATGCTTGTTATCGCATTTCATGAGTTCGGACACGCTATAACTGCCGTAAGTACCTAAGACATTATTAGTCTTTCACTTTTTCACATATTATGTATTTCTCTATTGAACGTCTATAGCTTAGACATTTATTACTTCAGGATGCAGATACTAACTCGTTCCATAGTGCTGCACAGGTGGACGTGTCAAATCTATCTCTCTTGATCCTCGTGAAGGAGGTGTCACCCATAGTATGTATCCAAATATTATTTTCTTCTTCCTTTCATTCTTATTAAAGATGCTGACTCTTATTGCTAGTGGTTGGAGGAATTAGTGCCATCACATTACCCGCTGGTTACCTAGGATCCTCCCTCATCGGCGCCCTTCTTATCTTCTGCGGCTTCGATATCGTCGCAAGCAAGATCGCCAGTCTAGTTTTAGGCGTATGCTTCTTACTGACACTCTGGTGGGGTAAACGAGATTGGCTTACGATCGTGACTATTCTACTTGCTGTCGGACTCTTGGTGGCATTCTGGTTCATTGCCCATGCCGAACCGTTGCGATTCTTTGTGCTCTTCATCGGTGTGATGAGCTCACTGTACAGCGTTTGGGATATTGTGAGTTTTGAGCAATGTTTCGCGCACATTATTAATGCTAATTGATTTCTAGTGCGACGACCTGATTCTCCGCAAAGTCAATAGTTCTGATGCCAGTGTGTTTGCCGAGCGCTACGGCGGCTCTTCTCAGTGCTGGGGCGTCATTTGGTCTATTATTTCAGTTTGCTTTATGGCTGCCGGGATTGTTGCCGGGATTGCCGCATTCCCACAATCATTCGCACAACAAGAAGAGGATTCGAAGAATTTTATTCCAACTCTCTGAGCGACTGGTTAGGATAATACCTAGGTTTCGGGGTCATGAAGTTACATCCCGTTAATTAGTTATGCGGAGTTTTGAGGGTTCTATGCAGTGCTTTATGGTTTTTGTGGTCACGAGGAGGACATACCCATAGGGTGTTCTTTTTTTAGTCTATTGCAGATACCCTTTATTATTAACGAATATTAGACAATGTGTCTGATGCGGGTTTACTTTTATTCAAGTCGTCATTGTTCCTGCATAAGCTTCCCTTTGGTTAACCAACCGTACCCGTTTACTACCGCATATGTAAGCTATAACTCAGTAGTGTCTCCATTCCGCGCTGTTGGAATATGGGGAATAGCCAATTATGTAATCTAGTCACGTGCTACCACGTGCGTGGGGCTAAGCCTAAAAGGGTTTACCTTTTAGGCTAACCCACACACACACAACTCAACAACAGACAACAACAGATCGTGATAGCCTCATTTCAGTACCGTGTGTTTCCTTTCCTTTGCCGTACGCTTATTGGTGTACACCTAATCTTTACCTAATTATTACCTATACCTGGTCCTTCCTACACGCGCATTCAAGTCTAGTGTAATGGTGGGCGTTTGGCTTAACAAACACTTGATTTCCAACTTCTCGTAATTATACATGATAACCACCCTCTTTAAGAAAAACAAGTTTATCCACTCATGATTGCCAAGAATAAGTTTCAGGATATGTGTTGTTCTGTGACCTAATTTAGTGAGGTATGAGTTGAACTTCGAGGTGCATATCCTAATATCGTTCTTTCTAAAGCCTCTAAGCACTGACAATGGTTTTCTATATGACCTTATGACCTCATACTAAACTTATAATATAATTGTGGCGCATTTGCTGTCTTTCAGCTGAGCTAGGTAGTAGTACCAAAAAGCCATCCTTGTTTGAAGTTGAAATTACAACCAGGCACGTAAACTCACAGCCTCATATTCCAACCTAATAGACATTTTTGAAGTCAAAGAAATACACCTATATTAAACCTCAAGAAGATTCGGTAAATTATTGTCATAGAAGCACAGCGCGCTAGCTTAAGTTTACTCAATTGACATTTCTACGTTTAACAGTACTCAAATCTCATACACCTATCATATTTTCAAGATGGGCATTGCAGGCTTCCTCTCGCGTGTAAAGAGCGTTATAAAACCACAAGATCGGAAAAGAGACCTCCAGGAGGACGAGAATGTCAAGCTCCCCACAGTATCATTAGAGAAAACCGAGTCTACATCGAGGGCTTCGTCGCAATCAGGATCATGCGCACCGAAATCGAATAAAGGACTACGAAAACCTTCGGTTTCGAGCGGACAGTCGTCAAACAGGCTAAGCGCTAAGCAAAGCGTAAGCTCTGAACCCACGGATTACCTATATTTCGGCGAAGGCGTATCCTCCGCAGAAGTCTCCCAGTCTCTATCAAGCCAAAGCCAAAGCCAAAGCAAATCACCTAGCATCCGACCAGACCAATCGTCAACGACGACGACGGGAGCTCACAATAACCCTGCCGCTGGTAGTGGCAAAGATAATAGTGGATTTTTGAAAACGGGGATGGATACACAGACAACTCAGATGGGATATTCAAATCTGACGAATGGAGGATCGCTACAGTACGATTATGCTGGGACTCAGGCACCGGGCGTAGCAGGTGTCAATTAATACATACATACGATATGAAGAATGAATCAAGTTTCCCTGCCCTGTACATATTCACTGCCTCGGCTCCATTTTTATTTGGTATCATACATACCGGTTTACATACATAGACCCTAGCAAATGTACATACATACACTACCTAAGATAGATCATGCGAGATCATTCCATTGTACGGATCAGTCCCATCACTAGCATTAAGGCCACCGAGAACTCAATAAAGCGGATACGAGGAATTATAAAGCATCTTAATGCAACTATGAAGGAGTTCCAATTAGCGATATCCACTAACAACAGCTCATAAGTCCAGCCGAGGCTAACACTGGCGTCAGTAGAGTTGAATGGCGTCGTTAGAGGCGAACTTATATAATTTGGTCATAGACATAAACTTTCTTAAGCTCTTTATAAGTAGCACACGCATATTTAACAATACCGGCCCAATGCTCGTCATTTGAATAATAAGTGTACCTCCTGGGTAGTTAACCTAACCTGATATTCTTCTTTATAAGTCAACACTCCCTAAATCCAATGTACGTATTTTACCCTTAGTTCTTATGCCATATATACCTGTAAGCCGAATACCTACTTTAGTCCTCGTCTAATAAAGTCAGGCCAGAAACAAATATCACGGCGACCTTCCCGCCCCTCCAGGATGTGGTCGAGAGTCCAGCCTTCTCGACAGCAATGTGGCAGCTCGAGCCGCATCAGAGCGGTCTCCTCCCCGTAGCTGTCGGGAGAGACGGGCCCGTAAACATCAGTTGGGAAGTACACGGCGACGGCCCTATAAAACTCATAGTGCGTAACCCACTAGTCGTACCCCGTCTAAGACTATCTCTTTCGGGATGAGCTTTACCCAGGACAAATCGAACAAGACTCACAAAGCCCTCTTCACAGCTCCTCTGCGGCCTAGGTTTCTTCAAAACCGCCTACCAGCGGCAAACCATGCACTTCGGACACATCCACGGATCGCAGTACTCCGTCCTGGTCCTCGACAACAGAGGCATGGGCCGCTCCGATAAGCCGTTGTCGCGGTACAGCACGTCGACGATGGCGCGCGACGCGCTGGAAGTGCTCGACCATATCGGCTGGACGTCGCCGCGGGAATTACATGTCTGCGGCATCAGCATGGGCGGCATGATCGCGCAGGAATTGGCGTATCTAGCGCCGGGGCGCATCGCCAGCTTGAGCCTGATTAGCACGGCTGCGTGTATTGAGAACACGACTACGTTCACCGAGAATATGATGAATAGAATCACGATGTTGCTGCCAAAGAGTCTGGACAGAAGTGTGCAATATGCGGCTGGGGCTAGTATGTATTATCAATACCCCTTATCGCCATTCCCGCCCGTTCTTATTCCCATACCTACCTACCTAACCTATACATCCGAGCTGGGCTGAGCTGAGCACAGTATTATATATATCATACTAAACTCCTCCAGTATTCCCCACGAACTACCTAACCGCACCAGACAACGCCGTCGTCCCCGACGAGACCGTCCCGCGGTGCAAAATCCCAGCCGGCGGGTACCGTAAATTCAACACCAACTACGAGCGCTTCGCCGCTCAAGAAATCGTCAAGCAGCGCGACGCAAGCGGTTTCACCAAGAAGGGTTTCTTACTGCAGCTCGTCGCGGCGGGCTGGCATTACAAAAGCCCGGAGCAGTTAAAGGAGATAGGGGACAAGGTAGGCCGTGAACGGATCCTAGTTATGCACGGGACTGACGACGGGATGATATCAACGCCTCACGGGAGGAAACTGATAGAGTGGTTGCAACCAGGCGAAGGCTTGATCGTGGATGGCCTGGGTCACGCCCCTATTAACGAGCGAACGCAATGGTTCAACGAGTTGCTCGAGGCGCGGTGCGAATTAGGCGAGAAGTTGAGTGGGCGGTAAAGAAAGTAATACATCACGTAAAACTAAGTATATGTCTACATATCAAACTACGCTATCGAGAAAAAAAAATAGTTATTGACACGAGTCTTATATGGATTGGTGAAAGCAACGCAGAAAAGGCGAGAAACACCGTTGAGTTAATACATAATCTTCGCGTGGTCGCATTGTGTGGGACGTGAATACGCCTATTCCGCCCAACCTAGGTATCTCATATCGAATCCTCAAGCCCATCAAAACAAAAGCCCGTACCTTGTTCACGCCATTTTCTTCGACTTTTAAGTAGAAAGACTCGTCCCTCAATCTAGGAGATTCCCGCGCAAACGCCCAAGAGCATTCTCTACCCTGACTTTCTAGCTTACAGTGGCAATGAAGCTCTGGTACTGCTCGTCCTCGCCCAGTGGCTTTGTTATAGGTTTCTGCGGCGGAGTTGCCGTAGAGGAAACCTTGCTACTCCATAACACCTTAGACTGTTGAGGCTGATTTGCCGGATCTACCTTCGGCGTACTAGTACCCTCCTCTACCTGCTCCTCTTTATCCGCCTTTGGCAAGCGCATTGCGAGGAGCACGTACTCAGCCCGTGTCATATTATCCATGATATCATCCATGTAGCGCCGCACCTCATCCTGAGGAGCGACCACCCTAGCCAGACTCTCCAAGTGCTTAGGGGACTGGGCATATATCCGGATCGTCACGGGCTGATAATAGTCCAATGCGGGATCCCCTCCGTACTCTAGCTTGCTTCCTTTTCGTACTATAAGGAAGGACGCAACGGCCTGAGTAGGGTTGACATATTCGATGATGCTGTACTTGGGAAACAAGTACCTGTCACCGTTACCTCCAGAAAATTCCAGTACGATGGCCGAGATGTCGGGCTTGATGGATGGTGGCGGTCCCTTTGAGCGTAGCGCTTGCTGGGAACTAGACGCATGAGTAGGTTGTCCAGGCCCGGTAAGTGATGCCTTTCTCGGCACAGAACTGGTTTGTACAGTAGGACTCTCTACCCCGTTCGTAGTCGTTGTCTGAGAAGCCCCTGTTGTCACCTGCTGAGGTTTCGAGGTTTCCTTCACTACAAGATCTTTTAGCTTATCAAGAGTTGTCTTCAAATCTGTAGTATCTGTAAATTTAGTTTTGCCCTCAGCTATTCTCCTAACAATATCCCGCGTAGCCACATCATCCAAGGCCTTCTTCACGAGTAGAATTACTAATGGATCGCTCCCTGGTGGTGTCCTTAGATCATTAGATCTCTGATGCGGGTTGGAAGCGAGAACGATTTCAAGTATAGTTCGGACCTCGTCAGCGAAATACTTCACCGTTCTTCCATCTACGATGAGCCTATCCGCTGATGGGCCGTGTTGACCCCCCTTTTTCTTATAATCGGCAGTAATCTGGTCAATTATCTTTTGAAAATGTGCCAATTCAGCGGGTGCTGCGTCTCCAATAGCAACGCGCTTCATGAGGTCACGGAGTTGAGGATCTTCAGATGCTCTCTCTGCTAGTGTAACTATTATAGGATCAGCACCAGGAGCAGTTGGCGTTGCCGGTTTTGCAGCTGGCGTAGAAGACTTGGGTGGCGCGGGGACAGCCGGTCCTGTAACGGCTGCGGTTGCTCCTGAGTTAGGAGCATGTAGCGGTCGGTTGGTACTCAACCCGGGTTGAGAGGGCCCTCTAGGCTGAGGGGGTGCTGGCTGTGAGGGGCCTGTCGTGGGAGGGATCGTCGGTGGATGCTGAGGAGCGGCAAGGACCGAGTCTAGACCACGTGGGGAAGCTAATGGCTTATTAGGAGGTATAGTAGTAGGTGGGGGCCGCTGCAGATCTAACTGCTGCGTCTGCGACTGAGGTTGTGTCTGGCCTTGCGCTTGTACTGGCGGTGGCGCTGTCGAGGGTGGCTGCGAGGGCGGCTGAGCTGGCGGCTGTGAAGGCGAGGTTATAGGTGCGCTCGGTGTAGATGGTGTGCTCGGTTTCGGAGGAGGGGGCATGGCGCCATTTGGAGGACCGTATTGTACGATGGGTCGAAAAGTAGAGTTGGTAGTAGGCGCAGGTTTCGGATCTTTGACAGCGTACATGGTAGCTTCGAGAACGTGAGGCTCGACAGTAATCGTAACCTGACCGATCTTGGTCATGCTATCTTTAGGGGGATTGTTGGGGTCCTCTTTGACGACGCCTTTCCGTTTCGTAGGTTTGGTCCAATACTTCTCAAAGACGCCTTCGTGGGCCCATTTTTGACGCGATCTTAAGAGTGATTCGGCTAGGACACCACTAAGGTGATGGTATTAGCGCATTTGCTGCCGATAGGGAAGGCTAAACAGATATACCTTTCTTGAATGGACTGGTAATCTTTACTTAAAAGATCATCGGGCTGCGGATGTTCAACGGTCGGTAGGGGATTACCGGCCTGGATGGATTTTGGTAGAGGAGGGTCTTCCGTAACAGTTTCAGTAGGTACCGGAGTCGATGCCGATGCTGGAACTGGAGTTACAGATCGCTCGGGAGGTGTCGCAGTTCGTTTTTTGGAGACATGTTCAACTCTTGCGGCAGCCCTCGCCGGTAGCTTTCGTTTTCTCTCCATCGAAACGGGGTATACAAGGGCTTCTACCGCCCAAAGAAGCTTGATTGAGTAGCCGTGGTGATGCCAAGAGAAGAAAAGAAGCGCTATATTCCATCAATAGAAGGAAAACTCTAAGTGCATTTTGGTAATAATAGCAATCTCTCGAAACGGCGATGATAATGCCAAGGGCTAGCTAATGTCACGTAGTGGTAAAGTTACTATATGGTAAGAGAAGAAGCACGAGAATACTGTGTAAATAAGGACGGAAATCTATCAATAATGTATGGTAATTCGACGCGAGATCGGCTTTGATTTTCGATTGAGTGGTGGGATACAGGAAACTTTTGAACAGTAGCTCAATCAATAACAAGGAAAGAAGTGAGAGTTTGTAATTAATTAGTGGTGAAAAGGCGGGTCTCTTTTTTGATGTACTTCTAGATACGCTGATACGGTACCTTAACTAAATCCTTACCTTAGGTTATCCCGGGGGGGGATCAGGATATCAGGGTTCGCCGCAAGACCCGCATAAGGTTCATATGCAAGCCTTGTAATTGCGTTAATACGTAAACCCTTAATAAACCTATATTTTAGCTTAGAACTATTAGTTTATGCATTTATAAGTCCATGGTAACATACCGGGTTATGTTCTGTGCACGTAAACCTTCAGGTACTAAGTACTTGATTTTCAACCGACATCCCCGGGCCATAAATGGAC